AGGGAGCCGGATGCGGGACTCGATCCAGGGACTCCAGGATCATGACCCGAGCCGAAGGCAGTCGCTTAACCAACTGAGCCACCCAGGCGCCCCTTTTTTTTTCCTTTTAAAATTTTATTTGAGAGAGCGAGAGCAGAGGGAGGAGCAGAGGAGGAAAGACTCTTAAGCAGACTCTGTGAGCTGAGTTCAGAGCCCAGCGCAGGGCTCAATCCCACGACCCTGCGATCATGACCTGAGCCGAAACCAAGAGTTGGACGCTTAACCGACTAAGCCACCTAGCTGCCCCTACATTTCTTTAATAAACCGTCTATAATCCAGTATCTCTGCTCATTCGCATAGATTACTCTCTAATGTGTACTGAAGACATTTTAGACAAAGACAGCTAAATAACTAAGTTACTACTTAAGTTAGTACTTTCCATCAAGCACAGGATATCAATCTTCCCTACTATCAAAATAAGAACTAAAATAATCCTTTCCTGGTGAAAATTCAACTTTAGATCTCAGAATCTTCAAACATAAAATGACAGGTTTCTTACCACAGGCAGCTCAAATTCATGGTATGCTGAGACCCAGTGTCACTGGTGAAAAGTTACTATTTCAGAGGAATGAGTGGTAGGAACAGAGCTGGCTTAGAAGGTGATGAAAATCTTCTCTGCCTTCATATACTACAGTGGATTTATGTAGTTCAACATTTCAGAGTCTATGCCTTCTAATTCATTTTGTGTGTTTAGCATGTTAAATTTACTGGGAAGCATTCCAGTTCTCTAATTGGGGTTTCTGAGAAATGAACGAAGGCATATCGTCTCAGAAGTGCTAGGGAACAGGGCAGCACTTGGTCGGCTTACTCTAAAAAAGCCCCACCTGTCACCTGTGCAGCCGACAAGAGCCACACGCGGCAGGGGTCAGGGCTAAGCCTCCATGTAAAGCACCAACTGGAACCAGAGAGCAAAAAGTTTCAAAGAACTTATTTTGTCAGCACAACAGACACAGGATTCCTACCATAAAGCAGAACACTGAGAAACACGCTTAGCTCAAAGCCAAAAGGGCCCCTCAGGCTGCCTCTGCCTTCAAGGATGGCATGATTGCTACAGACAACTTGGGAGAGCCATCGAAGACAAGGGAAACTTACCCAGGGTCAAACACCCCTGGAGTGCGACAGGTTGGTCCAGAACAGGACTGTAACATCATTAGCCGGTAGTTCATTTTTCCTAAAAGCTCTGGGTCTATACTTTTAGCAATGTTTGTGATTTGGTCTGGATCTGCAGTCAGGTTATAGACTTCTACAAATACCTGCGAGAATGTGAACATGGGGGAAAGAAAAGAACAAGCATTATATTTGAAGTACTCCTCGTGTGAATGATTTCTAAATGGGAAGGGAAGAGGTGGATAAGCGCAGTGCCTGGGAGAACATCATCTGGTCTCAACATCCTCAGAGAGCCCAAGGGTAAACACGAGACCACGGAGCATCTGTTCTCAGGGTTAAAGGGCTTCAGGTCCATGGCCCACGTGCTGGGAAGGGGCCTCCAGCACCCCCTGTGCCTTTCGGCAGAGATAGGAGAACAAATTTACTACCTTTTATAATAAAAGCAGAGAACAGAATGCAGGACCCTGAAATAGGCTCAAAGTAGACTGCTAATATTGTTAACAAAAGTGAGAGCTGACATTTGAAGGCTTTTGCGTTAGAATTAAGATTCAAATAAGAATAGATATGAAAGTATTCTAACCTGTGTTGTACAGATGCTAGTTTCCTGTTTTAAAAAGCAGTTTTGGATGTCCACCGCCAATTGGGAAAGGACACAATGCCATTATTTCTGACACTGGATAGATCTAACATCACTATCTCCCCCGCCGCCCCCGTACTTTATTCTCCAAGTGACAGGCTAGGAAGATGACACGTAAACATTATGGGGGAAAGGAGGAACAAGAACTGATTCTGAACGATGTTCTGCTGCTGCTGTCCACAGTGCTTATGAGCTGCAAACAAGTGGTGAGTAAGTCCATTTCTGAGAAACACAATGAGCATCGGCTCCATATAGCAGATGTGTATGCCAGATGAGCACATGCTGATAAACAGTATGAAACCACAAGGGACTGCAGGGCATGAGATCCTCAGACAATCCATAATGATCTCTGGTGGCTAAAAGCCACCTTACAAGGATGGAGCCTCCTGGTCTTGCTTTTGATGCCCCACTGCTGATCTACTTGAGCAACTCTGGAATGCGCTGTTGTGGGGACAGAAGTTTCTGAACAAGCTGGTTGTCAGTAAGTAGCAAATGTTCTGACTCCTTTTACCTCCACAGAAGTTGAGGTGTCTTACTCTGACCCCAAACTATCAGGGAAGCCGAGAGACCAGGCATGTAGCAATCTGAGCAAGTGGACGGTGCATTTAAAGTGTGTTTGGGTGGTGCTGGGAGTGGAGAAAATCCCTTTTGGAAAGGGCACAGTTAGAGAAGTGCGGTGTGGCTTTGTGGCTTTTTTTTTTTTTTTTTTTAAGATTTGAGAGAGAGAGGATGTACATGTGAGTGGGGGGAGGGCAGCGGGGGAGGGAGAGAGAAAGTCCCAAGCAGACTCTGCCTAGTGCAGGGCCCAGTCTCGGGACCCTGAGATCACGACCTGGGCCAAAACCAAGAGTCAGATGCTTAACTGACTGAGCCTCCCAGGCGCCCCTCTATTTTCTTAACTGAAGGAAGCCTAAGTGGAAGTATAGATAAGAAACCTATCTTCCTTAGGGAACATCCTTGGAATTGCTCTTCTGCTACCACGTCCAGCCAACAGAGCACTGGCACTAGGACACAAAGGGGTGGGGGAGGCAGAGGGCCTTCTTACCTCCTGGTCATCAAACTCACAATACTGTAAATTCCACTGCGCCGACAGGGTCCTCACACAGGCGTAGGTGTTATTGTAAGCATCTTCACAGACACAGTCTGGGAAACATTGCTGTAGGGATATTGAGAAAGTTAAATCAGGACAGTTCTGTAGTAACAAATACCACTTGCCTACAGGGGCAACCAAGTTGGCTCAAGTCAGACCTACCACTGGACAGAAATTAGGAAACTTTCCACAGAGAAGTAAATCAAAGATAGATGTGGGGCTTTGTTCCTTGTAGCTAACTTGATTAAGGAACATGTTTGTCTGTAGACTCTTGCCATCACTATCTGCTAATCTCATGACAAGAATCTGTTGTAGCGAGCAAATGGAAAATGGATGGGATGGATGGTAAGGAGGCGAAATCAATTTCCTAGGAGTCATGTCTAAGGTATATTAGGAACTGTCATCTTAATGGGTTGGAGAAAAAGGCTCAAGTGAGCTTTGTGGAATCAGCTGCAGGTAAGTTATTTCTTCATGTCTTCCTTACCAACTTTTGGTTGGTTCTTCACTATTCCTTACACTTTGGTATCAGGCTTCTCTCTGGAGTTGACTTTCCTATTTCCCATATCCAAAGTGAGACCAACACTGCTCTTACCACCTTCATGCCCAGCTTGGCTGCCACCAAGCAAGACACTTATGATGGCAGTTACATATAACTGTGGCAACCCCGTATCTCTACTGAAGGCCACTGATAACCTCCCTCATAAACAATGGTATACTGCTATTGGGAAGGGTAGGAAAACAAGAAGGGAAATGACTAAGAATATGGGTAGATACATGTGCTTGTTACAAAAACAAGAATTCAAGGTGCACATTCTGACAATAGGTCAGAAACATCATTTTCAGGATTACTAAATTTGTCTTGTTTGTCTACTAATCTCTACGTCAAGTGACAAAGTCAAGTGAAAGAGGACACAGACTCAGATTAAGGGTTTTAATACTTGACACACCTAAATCTATGCCTTGCTGTGCTATTGGTAAGAAAACTGTCTAAGCCAGCTCAAGCTATTACTCACAGATACTCCAGGACTCAGTGAAGGACAGGTTGGGTCGGTGACATTACGGCCTTCTCCTTGATATTCCACCAAGACATCTGATCGCCAAGTCAGATTGCCGGCACCTTTCTGGAAGGAAGAGCAAAAGTGGTTTCTGTGAGGCATATAGATTGTGATAAGGATCACAAAGTTATATTCTGCTAAAGGGGATGTGGGAGTCAAAACTAGTTGGGACTATTCATTCAGTAGCTAAAGAGAATGGCAAAACCTGATGCAGATGAAGGTTTCTAAATAGCATGTTTTGTACTTACAGATGATAGTCAAATGCTTTAAGCATTAATACTTCTGTGAAACAGGTTGGGAATGGAAACTATAAACTCTATCTAAGAATTCTTCTAGGGGCACCTGGGTGGTGTACTTGGTTGAGTGTCCAGCTCAGGTTTGATCTTGGGGTCATGGGATCGAGCCCTGTGCTGGGTTCCATGTTCAGCGTGGAGTCCACTTGGGTTGCTCTCCTCTCTGCCCATTCCCCCCCACCCAAAACAAATAAAATCTTAAAATTCTTCTAAACCCATCAGATGAAGAAATTTTAGCCAATTATATACAAGGACAAAAATATTAAACACAGCTGGTGTGCTAATAAGGACTATAACAGGTTCAAATTTGTTCTTAGTCGGAATGAAGATACCATACATATATGAACTCATTTATTCACTGCACATTAGTGGAGTGAAAGGAAAGAAGCAACAGCATTTGAAATGGGAGAGTTTAAGACAGGCACACAACGGTGAAAGGAAGAAGGCTAAAGTAATAAAAGTTGTGGATCAAAAGGACAATATGAGCACTGGAAGGAAGAACACTTGGTAGTAAGGTTTCCCGAAATCCAGCTTTTAGACAAGGAATGGAGAGATGGGGTGGTAACCAGAGAGAAAAAGGTGCTGACAGGACGCTGCCCCTTTGTTCTGTAAAGAATAGCAGGTGGTGGGAAGCAATGGGAGGTTTTTAATCAGGGAAGGAACACAATCAAGGCTGTGCTTTAGAAAAGTCACCCTAGTAGCAGAGTCTAGAGATGGGGTAGAGAGAGATAGGGAGATCAGGTTAGAATGTGCTCTTAAAATGGTCTACAGCCTTAACTAATCAAAGTCTGGTTTGTGGTGTTAAAAAGGAGACAGCAGGCCCAAAAAGGGGTCACTTGTGCTAAACCCCACATCAACAACCAAGACTTAATCCCTAACCTAACCTAGTTGCAGTTTCAATCCTCCAGGAATGTAACTTTCACCAGTCAACTTGAAATTACCTGGTTAGTGCTAGTGAGGTAATCTGCCCCATAGGCCTTTCCATTCCCCTTGGGAGGGTGACCTTACCTGAAACAATGCATTCTTTGCTAATAATTTCCATTATCCACCCCCTTTCCACCTTAAAAAACTTTTCCTTTTCTATAGCTCTGCAGAGGCTACCTTCTATTGTAGATGAGTTGCTGCCTGATTCATGAATCACTGGATAAATTTTCAACAGATCGGGTGGCAGTGCCAGGAGCTGAATCAAACTTCTGACAGCATTCTGGGACAATGAGAACCACTGGCATGATAATTGCAAACCTCCCCCCCCCTTTTTTTTTTAAATTCAAGACTTGAACTCATGACCCTAAAGATCAAGACCTGAGCTGAGATCAAGAATCAGATGTTCAACCAAGCCACCTAGGCGCCTCTTTGTAAACCCATTTTTGAGTTCACGGTCCTTCCACCATTTCTTTTTTTTTTAAAGATTTTTATTTATTTATTCATGAGAGACAGAGAGAGAGAGAGAG